AGGTTATCAAAAGGTGTCTTAGGACCAGTAGGTGTACCATATTGAGGATCTTCTAAGTATAGTAAGGTGATTTCTTTAGCATTGATGTTCATAACTTGACAGTGTTTTAGTAATCTTGTTTCTGGCATTCTGACATGAATCAATCATTTAATTATTATGTTTAACAAAATCCTGACATCATCTCATTAGTGTTGCATCAAAAGCAGCACCACTCATCTTTCTAATTCTGATGAGTTATTTTCAGTGCTGAGTAGGCGCATTGGAGATATCTTTTGCTTAAGTGATCTGTAACCTGAAATTTTTAAAGTGAAACCTGCTAAAACTCTCAACTACTTCCTGCAGCATTCCAGTTAATGATTTCTCTTTTGATTTATTCTCTACATATATTCATCCTTGTGGTTTTTAGTTTATCAAGTAGAGAAGATAATACACACACTCTAATAATGGAATATCATATTATTGGATATGCTTTAATGTAATAAAGATACACCATGTATTAAAACAAAAATGTAGTAAAAGACCTATCCAAAATGAAATTCTTTTTATGTTATGATTCTTAATTTTATTTTCCTGAATTCTGTTCTCTCTGAAAAATATGGACAACATTTCACAAAACAAGAATTCAGTACCAGTAAAAACTGAAAAGGTGCTCATCCCCACTGGTAATTAGAGAAGTGTAACTTACTGCCACATTAAGATATTAGTCATACATAAGAAAATCACCAAATTTAAAACATTTGATGATGTTAAGTGTTGTTGAAGACATGGAGCCACAGGCACTGTCAAAGATTACCAGATACAGCCACTTTGGACAACAGTTTGGTACTATCTACTATAAATTTAAACATACATATACTATGTTACCCAGTAATTTTATTCCTAGAGCAGTGGTTCTCAAAGTATGATTCAGGAACCCCTGGGGATTTCCGGGGCGGGTCCATGAAATCAAACTCTTTTCATAATTAGAGGAAGATGTTATTTGCTTTTTTCCTTCTCATTCTCTCACAAGTGTACATTGCTGTTTTGGTGTCATATTAAAAAATGACATTTAGTTATAAAGGCTATTAAAATTTACTTTCTTTTCCAACTAATCTGTGACACTGGATTTTCTTCATATGCTGCAATCAAAATAGCATATTGTCCCAAAGAATAAAACCCTGGGACCAGATGGCTTCCCTGGGGAATTCTACCAAACTTTCAGAGAGGATTTAATCCCTGTCCTTCTCAAGCTATTCCAAAAAATTAGGGAAGATGGAACCCTTCCTAACACATTCTCCGAGGCTAACGTCACTCTGATACCAAAGCCTGACAAGGACAACACAAAAAAGGAAAACTAGAGGCCAGTATCACTGATGAACATAGATGCAAAAATCCTCAACAAAATTTTGGCAACCCGAATTCAGCAATACATCAAAAGGATCATACATCTTGATCTAGTGGGATTTATTCCAGGGACACAGGGATGGTTCAACATCTGCAAATCAATCAACATGATACACCACATCAACAAACTGAGGAATAAAAACCACATGATCATCTCAATAGATGCAGTCAAAGCATTTGACAAGATCCAACAGCCATTTATGATAAAAACTCTTACCAAAATGGTGACAGAAGGAAATTACCTCAACATAATAAAGGCCATATATGACAAACCCACAGCCAACATCATACTCAATGGGCAAAAAGTGAACACCCTCCCCATGAGAACAGGAACAAGACAAGGATGCCCACTGTCACCACTCTTATTCAACGTAGTACTGGAGGTTTTGACCAGAGCAATTAGGCAAGAGAAAGGAATCAAAGGAATGCAAATAGGGAGGGAAGAAGTGAAACTCTCGCTGTTTGCAGACGACATGATCTTATATATAGAAAACTGCAAAGAGTCCATTGGAAAACTAGTAGAAATAATTAACAACTACAGTAAAGTTGCAGGGTACAAAATCAACTTACAAAAATCAGTTGCTTTTCTATAGTCTAATAATGACCTTACAGAAAGAGAACTCAAGAATACAGTTCCATTTGCAATCGCAACTAAAAGAATAAAGTACCCAGGAATAAATTTAACCAAGGAAGTGAAGGACTTATACAATGAAAATTATAAGACATTACTGAAAGAAATTGATAATGACATAAAGCAATGGAAAGAGATCCCATCACATGGATTGGAAGAATAAACGTAGTTAAAATGTCCATACTACCCAAAGCAATCTGCAGATTCAGTGCAATGCAAATCAGAATCCCAATGACATTCTTCATGGAAATAGAACAAAGAATCCTAAAATTCATATGGGGCAACCAAAGACCCTGAATTGCTAAGGCAGTCCTGAGAAAAAAGAACAAAGCTGGAAGTATCACAATCCCTGATTTCAAAATGTACTACAAAGCCATAGTGATCAAAATGGCATGGTAGTGGTACAGAAACAGGCACACAGATCAATGGAACAGAACTGAAAGCCCAGAAATAAAACCACACATCTGTGGACAGCTAACTTCGACAAAGGTGCCAGGAACATACGATGGAGAAAAGATAGTCTTTTCAATAAATGGTGTTGGGAAAACTGGACAACCACATGCAAAAGAATGAAGGTAGACCATTATCTCACGCCATACACAAAAATAAACTCAAAACGGATCAAAGACTTGAAGATAAGTCCTGAAAGCATAAAACTAGAAGATAATATAGGGAGTACACTCTTTGACATGGAACTTAAAGAATCTTTTTGAACACGATGTCTTCTCAGGCAAGGAAAACAAAAGAAAAAATAAACAATTGGGAGTTCATCAGACTAAAGAGCTTCTGCAAGGCAAAAGAAAGTAGGATCAAAACAAAGACAACTTAACAATTGAGAGAAAATATTTGCAAATCATATGTCTGACAAGGGGCTAATCTCCATAATATATAAGGAACTCACACAACAATAAAACAAAGAAGCAGCCCAATCAAAAAATGGGCAGAGGATATGAACAGACATTTTTGCAAAGAAGATATACAGATGGCCAATAAACACATGAAAAGATGTTCAGCATCACTAATCATCAGGGAAATGCAAATCAAAACTACACTAAGATACCACCTTACACCTGTTAAAAATGGCTATAATCACTAAGGCTGGAAATAAAAATGTTGGAGAGGATGTAGAGGAAAGGGAATGCTTATACACTGCTGGTGGGAATGCAGGCTGGTGCAGCCACTATGGAACCCAGTATGGAGATTCCTCAAAAATCTAAAACTAGAACTACCATCTGACCCAGTTATCCCACTACTGGGTATCTACCCAAAGAACTTGAAATCAATAATCCAAAGTAATATATGCACCCCTACATTCATTGCAGCACTATTCACAATACCCAAGACATGGAAATAATCCAAGTGCCCATCGACTGATGATTGGATAAAGAAGCTATGGTACACATATATACGTTGGAATACTACTCAGCCATAAAAAAGACAAATTCGTCGCATCTGCAACAACATGGAAGGACCTGGAGGGAATTACGCTGAGCAAAATAAGCCAGGCCAAGAAAGACAAACACCAGATGATTTCACTCATATGTGTAATATGAACAAACACATGGACAAAGAAAACACTTCAGTGGTTACCAGGGGAAGGGGGGTGGGGGTGGGCATGGGGGGTCAAGGGGAGCACTTATGTGGTGACAGACACAAAATAATGTACAACTGAAATCTCACATTGATGTAAACTATTATGAACTCAATAAAAAATAAAAATAAATAAGTAAAAAGCAGCATATTGTAACAATGTAGAAGCAGATAAGAAACTCCAGTTTTCTATTAAGCCAGACATTAAAGAGATTTGCAAAAATGTAAACAGTGCCATTCTTCCTACTAAATCTTTTTCATTTTAGAAGTCTTAGTTGTTTTTCAGACATATTTATTATTAATGTTATGATATAATCAGTTTATTTTTATTTTTAAATGAGTTAATATTTTAAATATTTATTAGTTTTAATTTCTATCATCGTAATATATAGAGACATATCTCACATAAACAAAAGCTCTTTGCAGCCCTTAGTAATTTTTAAGAGTGCAAGGAAGTCCTGGAAACTAAAAACTTCTAGAACCTCTGCACTAGAGGAATGCCTACATGGGTGCACCAGGAGACGTATATAGTAAGAATATTCATAGCAGCAGTATTCATAATGGCCTAAAATTGGAAACATTGTAAAAATTCAATGAGAATGGATAAATAAATAGGAGGATATCTTAAATCTGATAGAGGACCAAAAAATGATAAACTACAACTACTTGCAACAACATGTATAAGTCTTAAACATAAATATTCAAATGAAAGAAGTCAGATTCAAAGTAATACATATTGCATGATTTCATTTATATAGTGTTCACAACTTGGCATAATAAACAGTATTTAGGAATGCAGACTTAGGTAGTTAAAATGTACTGACTGTCTGATAAAGTCAAAATAACTGTTACCCTTAGAGGGAAGGTAAAAGATTATATTGGGAGAAGGTACTGGCAGTGTATTATTTCTTGACCTAGGTGATGATTACATATTTTTATTTATATTAATTTTTATTTATATTAATCAAGTTTTTAATATATGTTTATGTTTTATGCACATTTCTATATGAGTGTTATATTTCACATTAAAAATGTTTTGTAACAAATAATCAGTTATAAAATTTCGATAAATTTTTCAGGTATAAAATTTGCATAAAAATAATTTCTTCAACCTCCTTTTAAAAATGTAACTAAGCAGAGTATTCCTGATAGTACAGTTTTGTTCAAAGCATAGTGTTATTTGGGTCCGTATTTATCAAGATACGTTCTATCTTTAATCTCTCGATTGATCTGTTGATTTGTCTTTTTTTTAACTATTTGTTTTATACATTCTCATCTACAAAAATTTGGACTTGAAACCTTATTATAAGATAAAAATTATGATAAATATTGTTCTCTTAATACTGTGCAAACATAAATTATGTCTCATTTGTTTGAATTTTTTTATTTGATACAGATAGTCGTACAGGCACTGCAGTGTTCCCATTACTCGATTCTTTGGCAGTTGGTGAAAATTACTGATGGTTCTCCTTCCAAAGTAAGTAAGAGTTTCTGTAGGCAGAAGAGTTATTACTAAAATAAAATAACCTTGCTTAACTCATTATTTAACAATTTATTGTTATCAGTTAGAATAAATTATAATTTTTAATAAAAGATATGATAATTATTGTTATCAGTTCCTGCTTTGTCCTATGAGTAAGTATATTTTACCTCTTTGGAAGATAACCAGTCTTTAAGCCATAGACACATAATCGTATATATACAAAGTTAAAATTCTTATAAGAAATAGCTGTAGTAGAAACCACAAGACCTCTGATGGGTGACATGCTATAAAAAAAAGGATAATATTGAAAGATAATAGATGTAGCTCTCGGTTCTGGCATTATGATGTCTTGGGGCCCAAAGTAAACAACACTCTTGTTAAAAACAACTTAAATTGTTTTTTAAAAAATTTTTAATCTATCCATGACCGTGCAAAACCAAGAAGAAAATATAAACCAGAGATAAAGTGAAACTAGGATTCAAAAGAGTCAAGCAGAGCACTGAAGCCTACTTAACCTTGAAGATCGTTTCTAATCTAGACAAATCCCAAGACTCTTCCAAGGTAGAATGTCTAATAGGTAGCACATCTCCCCAGTAAAGCTGGGATTGTAGAGAGCTACTCCCAGCACAAGGGTAAATTAGGAATAAATCCACACCAGCTCTGTTCATGGGAGAATATAAGGAAAACAGGCTGTCTTAAAATTTGTCACTGATTAAAGGGGAGAAAATAGGTCTCCCATGAAAGTTTATAACCATGAGCTGGCTGTCAGATAGGTTTCCAGCCTAAGTTCATGCTACTTCAAGGTCCATTAAAAAAAAAAAATTGAGATTTTGATTTAAATGTTCTGTAGTGATGGTATCTCCAAGCACCTAATAGAATCAAATATAAATTCCTTCTGAACGAATTTGCCTCAAAGAATTTTCCACAAGTAAAATTTTAGGAAAAATGAGATTATAGTAAAAAAAAAAAACACTCAACTGAAAAGGACACCAGAAACCATGAATAAACCATGAAGAGAATCAGACCGAAAACATAGTTTATAAACTGAAATTATCTGACACAAATATAAAATAAATATTTCAACTGTTTCATGAAATGAGAGACTTGAACATATGATTAAAGAGCAAACACTTGATAAAGAACCAAATAAATTGGATTGTAATTAGTCTTTGGGTGGTGAACATGATGTAATCTACACAAAAATCAAAATATAATTATATATACCTGGAATTTATATAATGTTATGAACCAATGTTATTGCAATAAGAAAGGAAAAAAAGAACCAAGTAAAAATATGAGGGGCCAGCCCAGTGACGTAGTGGTTAGGTTTGTGCGCTCTGCTTTGTCAGCCTGGGGTATGCGGGTTTGGATCCTGGGGACAGACCTAGCAGCACTCATAAAGCCATGCTGTGGCGGCATCCCACATAAAATAGAGGAAAATTGGCACAGATATTAGCTCAGCAACAACCTTCCTCAAGTAAAAAAGGAAAGAAAGAAAATTATGATGTTTACATATCCTCATCTTAACAAAACAGAAGGTGTTTACCAGTGAAGAAGGTTAATAATACGTTTCCACATAGAACCAACAGCTTGATATGGAGCATTCTTTTCTCAAGAGAGAGGATTTTTTTCTTTTTGTCCTTTTGATTAGTAATTTGAGGATTTCTCTGCCATTGGAAAGTAATTGGGGTTTTTGATTGTTTTTAATTAGAAAGATGGTAGTGTATTGGTTAGCCACCGGTTTTTTTTTATTTTATTGACAATTTCAGTCTTGAAAAGCAAAAATCAAAGTTAACCTTCTTTTATTAGTAACAAAAGCTACTTTAAAACAGCATTATGTTGTCATATTTTTCGAAATATTTTTAATATGGTAAAATTAAAGGAGATTGAATATATGTAAGTTAAAATTTGATAGCAAGAGTTTATATGTTACACACAATTACTTTTATTCTGATTTTTTTCAAACGGTTGATTTTTGTTTTCCATTTTTTTCAACTGTGATAATTTTGGTTAACTGAATTATTTGTATTTTGGCTGAATGTTGATAATTGCATTTTAGCAAATTTGGAATATATATTTGCCTAAATATTTAGAATAATTAATGGTTAATTTCCCCATCACGTTTAATTTAAATTTTGTTCTTATGCAACCATATTCTGTAATTGGAGTGAGAATCTCTCTTCTTGAACCCACTTCTTTGAACATTTTTTATTTTTTTCATTCTATTTTAATTCTCTTACAGCAGATTTTGAGATTCTTGGCCTTTCTGTTTAATTTTGATCTGCCATATTCTCCAAATAAAAGATAACTTCATTTTTGTCATTAATCATAATACAGACTTTGTAATGGTCATTGCCACAGTGGCAGTGCAGATTTTGTGGCCAGCACTGATTTTTCTTTATGCCAGAAAGAACACTGCAGAATCTTAGGTGCTTTATTATTGTTGATTTCTATTTATAGTTTTTTGTGCATTTATATCATATGTGAAATTCTCCTTATTTAGCTTTCTCTTATCTTTTCTCACATTGAAGGTGTTGGTAATTTTCTTATCCAAAGTACATTCAGTAATCATTGTATATCATTTATGTCTATAGTTTAAAAGTGGTCCTCTGAGTGATAATTTTTAAAAAGCATGAATCTTCAAGACGTGCACACTTTAAAACTTAATCTTTCATTTCTAATAATAATAATTACTCCTTTTAAAACAATTACTTTAATGACTCATATATAATAATTACCAGATCAAGAATTGCCAAACTTTCTAATCTCCTATATGATGTAGTATATTTTTGAAAATTTAAGAGCCACATACATAAACTTTATATACACATGATCTATGTTAAGATCCCACTTGATAAGATAATCAACTTTCTAACTATAGTTCCAGCCACATCAATGATTAACTTGTATAAATAACCTTGAGGTAAGTCACTAAAATAATTTTAAAGCAGATGATTTATGTTAAAGCATTTTATCAGTTGTAAAGTACTTTCCAGATAGTAACAACAGTTAAAAAATCACTTATCCGCAACTCAGGTTACTTATTTATAAAATTGAAAATTGGGTTGGGCCAATCTTTTCCAGCTCTAAAATTCTGCAATCTCTGGTAAGGTTAATAACTGCTGTACCGAAGATGTCTGGATAGATATACAGGAATCTTAACAGTGGTTACCTCTGGGAAACAGAGATTCTTTGGGGCAGGCATAGGAAGGAGAGAAATTTACCTTTCTCTTTACACTTTCTAATACTGTTTGAGGGATTGTTTTTGTTGTTAATGATATTTAATAGTGATAAGAATTTTATCACAAAAATTAATTTTTAAAAACTACTAGTGCAAAAGCATCTTGATTCCTCATTCTAATCTTAGGTTTGGGGTTATATATAACTCACAGAGTTGTTGAGCTTGAATGAATACTAAAAAAATGCTTAGTGTGTTCTATATCTTACTTGCTGTAGCAGTATTATTCTGATGTTTATAAATGTATATTAGAGCTATAAGGGAATTTGGAAATGATTTGATGAAAACTGTTCATTTTAGGTAAGGCCTAGAAAGGGACGTTGTTGTTGTTGTTATTAGTACCTTGTTGATTTCTCTTACATCTTATAAATCACTTGAATATAAATGCTCTAATTTAATTGTCTTCTAATAATCCTATAAAGTGGATATTGTCATAATCCGGTTTTACAGATAAGGAACCTGATACAAAAATTGGGACTTGCCTACGATCACAGACTTAAAGCACAAGTCTTTTGAATCCCAATCTCGTGGTCTCTCTTTTGCCACTCTTTAAATTCTTGTATTATTAAGCTTTTTTTTTGGTGAGGAAGATTGGCCCTGAGCTAACATCTACTTCCAATCTTCCTCTTTTTGCTTGAGGAAGATTGGCCCTGAGCTAACATATGTGACAGTCTTCCTCTATTTTGTATGTGGGATACCACCACAGTGTGGCTTGATGAGCGTTGTGTGGGTATGTGCCTGGGATCTGAATCTATGAACCCCTGGGCACCGAAGCAAGTGTGGAAACTTAACCAGTATGCCACGGGGCTGGCCCCTTATTAAGCTTTTAATACAACTGTTTCTAGAGAGTTTTGTGGGTATTTGAGGTTTTTTTAAATGAATTTTCTAAGGGCACATTGGTTGATTTTTCACTGAACACAAACCAGCAGTGTCTGTTAATCAGTTGGATAGTGAAAAGGTATGTCACATAGCCAGTTTTCTTTCATTGTTCTGTATCCCACAAACTATTTAAATGAGAAGTTACTGTGATTTTAACTGGTTCAGTTTGTAATGCCAATGGGTTACAGTTCAAGTATGGGAAAGACTTTGGTAGTGATGCACCAAAAACTCTCTATCCATTTTTTTTCCTTTTAATTTGTTTCCTGAAATTTAAATGTAATTCAGTAGACCCTTGAGGTCTATATGTTTAACTCTTGTAATGTTGATCATTTAGAGACAATTGGAAAGTCTTATTACATGAGTTACTTTTGGGTTTTTGTTGAATAATTACGATGTTAATGTGGAATGAGCCATTTAGCTAGTGAGGGAGCTAGCCAGCTGACCACTGTTTGTTTTTCTCTACTCGTTACATTTATAAAAACTCGTTTAAATCTCCGAAGAGGACACTTAGATTTTTAATTAATAAATTATACTTACTAGTTTTTGGTGTAAAATGTAAGGTAGAATGGTTTTATGGTTTTCATAAACTTGGGCTCTCTTACTTGAGTGTGTGTTCATTGTAAAAAAAATAAAATTTCCAAATTTTAGTAGATAACCACTGTTAATATTTTAGTGTATTTTCTTGTAGAAGTTTTTCTTACGTATTTTTCGGTCTTATTGAGATCATAATGTATTTACAAGTTTTTGTCTCTTCAATTAACATAACATTTTCTTCAGTTATTAAAAATGTTTATAGATAATATTTTTAATGTAGTCCATCATGTAGCTAAACCATAATTTATTTTGCCACTCTCCTTTCTTAGATATTTAGGTCGTT